ATATCTGTTGGCAATTCTATGTCCAAGGTAGGATAATAATATAATGATTTGTGAATGCTGATGTAATCATACCTTTGATGTATGGGTAAATTAATGAATCCTACATAGCCATCTTCCACTCAATGGGATATTTAAATACCATGGCTATAAACCTCATAAGTTTGTCTGAACAAAGATTCTTCTTCTTAAAAAATACTATTCATGTCCTTAAAAATTATGAGTTGTTGTCGTAATATTATTAGATAGACATGTGACGAATAAATTTTCTGACATATATATGACTACGTAAGCAAAATCAAATTGGTTTCAAGTGGTAAAGTGACCAGATAAATAGTATTTACTAGTTCATACAGTATGGGGATTGGAAATAGGTAAGCAGTGTGGCGTGTGCTACTGACAGGATTTATAAGTAGTACATAGATGCATACTTGAATATGTGTGTCATCTGCAAGAATTTCGACTAGCAGAGAGATGGATTTAAGGAATGATGCTTGTGAAACAACATGGAAAACATGAAACGAAGACAAAGACGCACACTATGGAACATATATACAAATTGTGATTCTAATACATACGTATTTTGCCTATAATTGTGTATCGACTTGCCAATAAATAATTCCGTTATTAAATTCCCTTGTCTTCTGTCGTTACCGTACAACACAGACAATTGTTGGTACGGTTCATGTACATCAGTCTACAGGAGCGAGTGAATACGTGTCCAAGTTGTCAACAGTGAGATCTTGTCTTTGACGTCTTGATTAGTAACAGGATTTGTGGAAGAGATACAAATAACGTTCTCCGATTTAACCGAGCGCTGTGCTTAGCCAATGTGCAAAAAGTAAAAAAAGTGGCACATGTTGAAAAAAGGCTCATTATCAGAAAGTTCGAATTCAGGCAGGTGCACATTTCGAGACAAGATTTCACCACAGTTCGTTTAGGATATCTAAATTATTCTGACCACACATGGTGACCTAAATTAAACCATAAGTGGCAATCAAATACTCGCCGATGTCATTGGCTGGCGCTATATATCTCAAATTGACAGAGGTCCATCATTCACCTTTATACCGACTATCGCATACTCCGAGAAGACGAACATTCAGTTGCAGTGTGAGTCAACTACAATAGTGAATAATGCTTTGAGTTACTACAGCTGTCACGTGGTTATTTTTTTTCAGATTGTGAAGTTACTTCTCAATGACTTAAATCAAAACTTGCTAAGATATGCCTGAAATGTTTTCTTTTTGTTAACAATTAAATGGTAAATACACAAACAATTGGGAATGAGTCACCTAATGTCTTCTTACAACACGCATTACAAGGGATGAAAATATTGGAGTAATTTCTTTGCACTAGAAAAACGACAGTTAGTATTTGGTCACTACTCTTATTGCCTGTATGAAATAAGGATTAGAAGCAATACTTTAGGAAATTTCTGTTGTATTTTACTGATTAGTAATACCCAACTTCTAAGATTAAAAGTTAATACAATTTCGACACTTTCTTAGTTGACTTTATCAAAATAAGTAAGAAATATCCACAAATTGTAATTCACAGAAAATTATTGACTGAAACCTGAGTAGGGAAGTGAACAGAGCTATTTATAAGAATGCCTACATTATGAAAAGCTGAACGAAGATCGTTGCAATCAAAACGTTCGTAGAGCCAAAAATGTATAAACAAATTAAGATATCTACCACTTGATGAATAGAAGGAAATTACGCTAGCAAAACGACATGAGTGGAGCTCATAGTAATGCCGAGTAGGGAACAAAGAGAACAATTAATTATGAAATATATTCACAAAAAGCACTACTAAAAAAGAAAAAAAATTGCCATATTAGGGAAAGATTGGCAACACAAACTAGTAAAACGAGAAATCTAAGTTGAACTGCACATTAACTCATGCCATTAACTTCAATGCTCAAGGTATTTATATCAATACCTAGACAACTTTACCATATGCTGATCAAACATTCATAAAGATTCTGCAGTTTTTAATTATGGGGTCAGTACTTTCCTGTTATGTTGAAGTATTTGGTCCTCATATTCTCATACTGCAACTACTTCAATTCATAATCAGTTTCTTTAAAACAGAAAATCAACTAATATCATTTTATCATGATCCGATTGTTGTTTCACCTTAACATAATTAAAAAAGCAAACGTATAATGTAAGCAAGACCAGATCTTTTAAATGACAATGTTTAACAACGACAAGTCACTATGTAACTTTAAGAAAGTCACTTAAGCTTTACTGCGAACAATTGCAGATATTTTCTCAATTTTCAAATGTCCAAACAACCCTTACGTTATTTGGATCTTTTCGCGTAGATTTTAATGTTCAGTCTTGGAAGAGGGAGATTGCTCAACAACCACTTGCATTTAATTACACACGTTCATTAGTTACATCCAAGGGTTGGTTCGGTTCGAGTTCACACACCAGTGGCTGAAATCCAAGCACCTTAATCAATTAGCCGTAGGTCTAAACGGCAAAAGTGAGAAGCAAATATTTCGGTTAAAACAAGGTTTAGTTTACCGTATCAATCAAGTGTTTACTGTACAATAGGAAGTTAAAAACAGTTAAAGTTAATGGTACATAAATATAAAATCTTTCCACAAACAGTAAAATGCCATAGATGTACAGGAACAAAGCGGTAAATATACATTTAAAAAACCTAATACAATATATTTTATTGAAAGATGCAGTAGGGAGTGAAACACACTCTTACACAGAGGAGTCTACGAAAGTTTTCTCCACTCAATCAGAAGTTGAACTACTTTGAGAAGAATTTAAAGCTGATTCTAAAACGAATTTGCTGAAGTTTTTCTCAGTTTTTTTGGATATGGTAATGCCTTTAAATCCTAACTTCTTGGCAAGCTTTCGGCGCTGTGCGACACGCTTGCGTGTTGTTGATAAGACAAGATCTCGATCCAGAGGGGCGACGCCGGGACCTGTAGGGTTGCATGCTTCTTCGAGTGTTAGTCCTGTAAATATCTGCCTTCTTAAGGGGGAACGTTCAGTGTTTCTGCAGGACTTATGGGAGCGTTGATTTTTTTCAACTGAATTTTCGAAAATAGTTGGCAAACCCCTGTGTTTTGGGGGCGTATACTTATTAGGAAGATAGACGTTTGCAATGTCTGATGGTATGTGCAGAGGACTTTGAGGTCTGACATTTTCCAATTTATCTTGCGATAAGACAGATATCTTATCAGGTGACGCAGTAAAGCATGACTGTGCAGAAATATCCGTAAATGGTATATTATTTTCATTTTGGGCAGGCGAATGAGAAGAACTGCACGATGCGTCATAAGCTGCATTCGTCTACAAAAAAAGAATATTAATTTAAGTGTGGATTAGTACCATATATTACACATAGTTGAAGATACTAGCAATGTAAAGCATACTCTGATGTACCTAGCTAATAGCTATTCAGTTTGTACGTCCTATTTATTCGAGAACCAAGACGACGAAAATAGTGGCTTTTGAAATACAATATGATACATCAACAAAATTCAATCTACAAGAGGTGCACGCCGAGCATATCTTAGAGCAAGACAATGAAGTTCAAATGAGCATGTGCTCGAACCGTCACACAGACTAACGGAAAACCAACTTAAATGTGCACTATAGATTTGTACGACTGATGAACAAGGAGAGACGAGGAGAAAGGGGCTATTTATATCAATGACAACTAAATCAAAATGCTTGGTTCTCACACAAGGCGACTGGGTACTCAAAGTGGACAGAAGTGAGCGATTTCGCGAAAGCTAGCGACGGTTAACGAATGGAATAACTATTTGAATTCGGATATCTATATATATATCAGAACTGATATACGTAAATTAACAGACATGTAATTCATCTATGCAATCAAAGACAGTGCATACGTTAAAATGATAACATGGTGGTCCATTTTTTCACATGACCTATACCGCATTACTTTCAATATTTTGATTTATCGTTGAAAAGGACTACCAGTTGTTACATCTTAAAACAGAAGCACTGAAAAATTCGCACATAGAAAACGTGACGAATAATCGTAGTAGACTTTGATATAGCTAACAAATCCATCAGCCAACTGTGAACAATGCCAACACAGACTACATTCGAATGAGAAACAAGACCAATAAGGTAGTGTGTTATGGATATCCAATACGGTGAATCCGATAAATAAATACCTTGTCTTTTTACTGAAGTTTCAGTTTGGGAAATCTGAAATGAAGCAGTATGGAGAACAAAGATTACTAAACAGTGATAACATAAACACAGACCGTTAGTAGCACACAGGCAGAATGCTCTCCGACCACTGATGTGCATCGGGTTTCAAACCTAACCGACGTACACCTTTAATACGATAAGCCATTATTACAACTGCTAAGGAGTTAGGATTGGACATAAGGATAGCAAACCCAATACTCAGAAAATAACAGCTGCGACATAAACTAGTCTCCCCACCCATCTTCTGGGAGTCAGCCAAGGCTACATTAGTCGAGTGGCGGGACGAACTGCGAAGGAGCTTCCTGAGGACCGCGAAAGTTTACTTCACTACCAAAAAGCGAACACAAAGAAGTCAAATTGGCTTACAATAGCTCGTAAAGATCGATTTTGAGCATTGGATATTGGTCTGGCGGTTAATGCAAGTGAGGGAGCAATGTGGTGCATTAGGTAAGAGTAAGTGTGACACCTTGAACCCCCTTGACTTATGCGCATGTATGATTTATTGAGTAGGGAAAATAAGATTTCAGATCCAGGAATCATCAGAGATTTACTCTGAGGGAATATCTTATGACTTTTTGAATGGTGTCACATACGATAGTAGCTCTAAACTGTTAGAAGTATGCATTCTGTGTAAGGGAGAGCTCCATGGACACTGGAGCGTTCAAAATGCAATTAACGACATATTTGTAAGCAAGACGAAGCATAAGAAGGCTTGACGTAAATGCCTGTGAAGTTAAAGTCGTCTGTACCATTGGTTGCAGAAAAGCTGATTCTTGGTATGGATCGTGTCAGTGGCAATTTCGTACTTTATCTTCCTTTCCAGGCATTAATCTTCAACAAGAGCTTAAAAATTAAACATCTAAGACTTGTATGTAATTTCCATTCAAAGTCTTCAGTATTCCCACGTGCTGTCGTCTTATATTGGTGTGCTGACTTATTTTCATTCTTGCGCACCCAAAGTAATTTGACGTTGAACATGTGTTTAGTATTACACCCTTGCCATTCTGCTGGGGACCCCATCCTGTAAAAATAAACGCTGCTACAGAAACTTCAAGCCTCAAGCTTGAGGCCCTTTGTTCCACTGGGACTGTGAAGGAATGAAAAAAAATAAACATAGGCGACTTATTCAACGTAGCAGACGCACTTACATGAGTTTGCGGATTAATCACTGACTTTCGACTATATCTTTTAGATGGGTGTGTTTGTCCACCAAGGGACGCTGCAGGTATGGATTTGCGGCGTAATCTCAAGGACCTTCTGAGAGTTCCACCCGAGTCGGCACTTTCTGGTGAGGAATCAATGATGTTTGTTAGGTCTAGAAGACCCATGATAGATCTCCTTCCGCGCTTAGATTCGCTAAGAGGGATAAAAGACAGACAATAATGGGCGTTCATCCTCTTATATTATTGCGGTAACTTATAAAGAATAAACATAGTGAATGCAAGTGCTTAATCAGTTAAATTTAATTGATTAAACACTTGCGTTTGCTTATATATACATGTTATATAACGAACGGACTGAAACTGACCTCATCGGACAAATTGTGACAACTGAAGCTCGGAGGCAGCTTCACCTGAAAAACAGGAAAGCGAACACACTGCCCAACAGCCCACACTACACCACAAAGGGGGAACAATCCTGCGAGCAGAGCGAAAGACTATAGCAACGAGAAAAGTTCGTGGAGTACGTGACAAGTTGACTTAGGCGCGAAGACTCAATGTCCAATATCCAATATCGTTTTTACGAGCTAGTATAAACCAATTTGATTTCTTTGTGCTCGCTTCTTGATTGTGAGGTATAGGTTCCTGATCTTCGGTAAACTTCCGCGTAGCTTGTCCCGCCACTCGACTGTCGTAGCTTTCAAGTGTTGGTTTGTAGGGACTTGATTGGTTTCAGGATTTCATCATGAGCTGACATTAGTTAGAGAACCATTGGAAAACCTGGGAGTACTGGACAGCTGTTTCGTCCTAGTTTGGGACTCTTCATCAGTACGCACCCACCGGGATTCGAACCCAGGACCTTCCGGTTACAAGGTGAGCTCGTATACCATTAAGCCACTGGGACCCGATCCAATGGTCCTTGAATTCTAACTTCTGCCAATTCACGACATAGCGCGACCGCTAGCCAATGTCTTCGGCGAGTATTTGTCCTCACACCCGACCAGCTGCACCCTACTGGTCACGACTTCCCACTGGAACCCAGGTAACTACCTACCTGAATAGGGCCAGTCGCCAGTGAGCATATCATTGATATTCAAGTGTTGGTTTGTAGGGACTTGATTGGTTTCAGGATTTCATCATGAGCTGACATTAGTAGCTTTGGTTGACTCCAAAGGGAGTAGTGCTGGGATTAATTATATGTGGTTTGTAGTACGAGGTATGTTAAGACTGTTACTACTGTGATTGGAGTTGATCCTTTCGCCAGTTAGTCCTTCGGTATCGTCGACAAGAGAAAAGAGATATTAATAATAATAATAATAATAGTAATAATAATAATAGATATAATTGGTGAAGCTATTCAGACTAAGAGACAGAAACGAAAATAGGAAACGTAACAACAGTCAGCTCATTAAGTTTGAAGAATAATATATATATCGGTAATAATAATAATAATAGCAATTATAATATTAATAAGTTGTCAGGAGAGTAAGACGGGAGAGAATGTAAAGAAGTAAAATGACGAGTTTAATTATCTACCCTGATTGGTATATGCGATTTTAAGGAGATAGGCCATTTGGATGCAGTCCTTGTATCGCTGCATGGTTGTCCAGCCTTCGCTTAAAGGCGTCCAAAGACGGTGCCATAGCTACATCTGCCGGCAAGGAATTCCAGGGACGACAAACCCGCAGTGAAAAGAAGTGGGAGCGCACCCGGGTCCTTGCCCTCTGGTGAGCTATCCTTCTGAGATTTCCACGTGGAAGCCTATACCTACTCAATGGCAGGACACCTTTGTTTGGGTGATTCTGGTCATTTGTTATTTTGTAGGCAGTAATCAAATCCCCCCTAAGCCGACGGTAACTAAGTGTGAACAGGCCTAATTTCTTCAGCCTTTCATCATATGGTTTGTTTCGGAGACCAACCACTCCTTTTGTTGCCCGTCGTTGGACTCTTTCCAAGAGGTTAGCGTCTCTTCTCAGCATTGGGGGTGCAATAATATTATGCACCTCAAGGTGTGGCCTGACGTATGTTTTGCACAACATTAGAAAGAGCTCAGGAGTGAGTGCACCTAACTGTCTATGCGTAAAGTGTATGACCGCATATGCCCTCGCTACATCCCCTGTGTAATTTTCATCCGGTGGTTGTCGGCATTCGATAACCAACCAATATTTAGGTAAGTACAACGTTTACAAGGGATTGAAAGCTGTTTTAGAAAAGTAAAAGTGCTAAGGTGATTCAATAAAGTGTAATGAAATGGGTAAGTGCAAGTATCACTAATAAATGCATTAATAAAGGAAACTCCCTAGGCTGACAACGTTCATTTGCAATGCATAATGCTACACGTATATCTCGTACTATCATGATGTCCCATTTTGGTTTTAATACATTTTTTCCTCATGCCGGTTTTTTTATTTTATCATTTTTTGTGCATTTGGTGCACAACCGTACCCTACAGAGAATAGGAATAGAATAAGGCGAATCGAATTCATAAAGAGCTATGAAATGTTAGGTTTAATGGAATATAATGAGGATTAAGTAAAGACGTTATTAGAAAATGAATGAGTTAAGACATTGTGAAGTGGTATTTAAAGATCCGACAATGGACAGCAAGTTAGTTTATAAGATGCCCCATAAATCAATCCACTTTGTCGCCCTCGCATAGTCCCACAAAGCGTGTCTGCGGATAGCAGAAACAACACGCCTGCACAAATATAGGTCAAATAAAGAACCCTACCCACTTCTGTAACCTGACTAAAAATAAAAATTCCTCGGTCTATAGCACATCCAGTACTCCAAATCTTAATTCTTCACCGAAAACAGCACACACCAACTCGGTAGACATAGGTGAGCATGATGCTGAAACTCCTCTTAACATAGGATCATCATGTCAAGCAGAACTACTGGGTGCTGAACCATATTCGGGGCTGACTAACGAACTTGAATACTTCAAATGCTACTTCAACTCTCATCTTTACCTAATCCTCATAAATGCTAGATCTGTTCTAAATAAATTGCCGATGCTCAGAGCACTCACAGTAATATACAAACCCCCTGTAATTGTCATCACTGAATCTTGGTGTCATTCGAACATCTTGGATGAAGAAATAAGCTTAGATAACTACACACACTTTCGGTGTGACAGGGAAGGTGGTAAGGGAGGGGGTTGTCTCATGTACTTTCTGAATGCACTTACTGTATCACAACTAGAAAGTGGTACACTTAACATGCCTGAGACTCTATGGGTTAATGTACACCTAAATAGCGTAACAGCATTAATTGGATGCACCTACAGAGCACCTGGCACCTTTAGTAATTACGAGACCCAACTTATTAATACTCTGGAGCAATTATCCTACTTACAATACGACCATAAGATCCTATGTGGGGACTTTAACTTACCTGAAATTAACTGGGATATACCCACAGGCCCAACTAAATTTGATAAGTTTTTAGGCACGCTGGATATACTTGGCTGGAAACAAACTGTCACTACTCCCACAAGAGGTAATAACGTACTAGACTTAACCTTCTGCCACAATATAAGCCCCCTTTCAACACTAGTAGGTTCTGAGTTTCCAGGGAGCGACCACAAAACAGTGGTATGTGCACTGCCACTTCCGCTGAGTAGCAATGCATCTCATACCTCCACTTCACAACAAGTAATATATAGGAACTATAGTAAGGCAAACTGGGCCTTAGTTGAATCAATGCTAAGATCCTCCAAATGGGACGAATACTTCACTACCGATGACCTATCGAGAGCCCTAACCATCTTCTACCATAACACTAACACATGCTTAGATGCTGTCATTCCACTCCAAACACTAAAGATTTCCCCACACAGAAAGTCATTCATAAAACCAAAGGATCGTACGAAACTGAAGAAACTCTCAACAAGTTACTTCAAACACCACGACTTTGGCACTCTAGGTCTAATACTTAAAACCCTTAGCTCCATCTCACAAGCTCGAGATCACCGTATGAGAAAGGAAGAACGCACTGCAGTAGCCAGTCCTGCTAGAGTGTATGCACTCACAGAAATCTTAAGGAAGCGAATGAATCGCAAAAATCACAGCATTTATCTCCTCATAGACAAAGGTAGGCTATGCACTAACTCTACAGACATATGTGAACTATTCAACAAAACTTTTGCAGGTAACTACATTAAGCCCTCAGTCCAGCTACTCGATATACACCCTACTACTAATAAGACACAAACTCCATTTCCACTCACACCAAACCAAATCAGCACTGTTCAATTCACTTACGCTAATATTAACCAAACTATAAGAACCCTCAAAAGTTCAAAAGGTTTCGGTACCGACGGTATATCGTCTTACTTCTATAAATATGGTGGCCCTGACATTCCTCTACTGCTTCTTAAAATATTCACAATGTCCCTAGAAACTCAAACTTACCCTGACATATGGAAGACAACATTCATTATGCCTAAACACAAATCTGGCTCGAAAACTGAAGTCAGTAACTACCGGCCGATCAATATCACACCTATAGCATCTAGAATCATGGAGAGACTGGTCAAAGATAACCTAATCAAACATATGCTTAGCTGGAATATTATAAGTCCAAACCAACATGGATTCCTGAAATCCAGATCATGCTTAACATGTCACCTAGACTTCTTCAATTTTGTAACCAGCAGTCGTGACAGACGGCAACTAGTACTCGTCATCTACTTTGACATTTCTAAGGCTTTTGACCGTGTTGACCATATACTGCTAGCAAATAAGCTGAGCTCCTTAGGAATACGTGACCCATTATTAGGATGGCTTAAATCATTCCTTAACAACAGGTCCCAAATAGTTAAACTCGGGTCTGCAACCTCCAAACCTAGCCCTATCACTTCTGGTGTAGTACAAGGTAGTGTCATTGGACCCCTACTATTTACGCTGTACATCAATGACATATGCGCTTGCTTCACGCATGGGAAGCCATTCATCTTTGCAGATGACCTGAAAGTAGCCTATACATTCCAAAGTGATGACTTAGGGAACTTCGAGAATGTAGTGCAGAAGGAATTAGATAAAATGACTGCTTGGTCGTCCCTACGGAACCTCCAATTCAATCTGAAAAAATGTGGCTGGATCTGCTTCGGTGCACCCTCAATTGACCTGAAATTAACGCTTCAATCCGCTAACCTAACCAGACTCCGAAGTGTCGTTGACCTAGGCCTGAGGTACTCTAGTGACTTGACATTCTCTGAGCAAGTAGCATCACAGACTAGAAAATCGAGGATGCTCTTAGGATGCATACTCAGGAACTTCCACGACAATGAAGCCAAGCTAATTCTGTACAAAACATGTGTCAGACCACTACTAGAATACTGTCCATTTATTATAAGCAGCACTCGCACAC